GAAAAAGCTTAACATGGTTGCTTTCTCCAATTGCAAAGCAAGAAGATGGAAACACTATTCTCTAATTCAGATTACTCATGCTATTCAAAGCTTTTTTTCTCCTCCCTTTTTTTTTTAAAGGTTTTGTCTCAAGCATTCCACACTTTCCATTGCACAGGTTCCCTTAGGACCGTTTCCTTTCATCAGTTTGAGTCTTTCATTTGACAAAAGATGAAAAGCATTTTCCATGAAAATGCATCACAAACACACAATAAACGGTAGAGGACTGATAGCTAAAACAATTCTACAATTATATCGTTTTTAAACTGCTATCATCTGGACATCCTGTTGTATCTCTTCAAATGGAGAGGCCTTCTGCTGCTGTTTGTAAGTGTCTATTTTTAGGTTATGTGGCTAAATTAACTTCCGCACTCAACTTTTATGTGTTTTATCATCATTCCTTAGCTCAGCTCTATCAACTGATTCCTCTTTGTTATCGTTCACATCCATAAGTACGTCTGGATTTCTTCTTATAGGCCAAGGGAACAATTTTTCAGATCGTCTCGGTGTTACTTATTAGCCCATTTACACTTCAGTTCTTTTCATGTTTCCTCGTGTGTCAGCACCTTTTTCCTGCAGTTAATAACCTAAACTGACTGCCTATCATCTTTTTTCTCTATGGTTCTTCAGTCAGTTTTCATGTCCAGCCAGCTTGAATTTGCTTGGAAAGATCTTGAGAGAGACCCAGTTCAATTCATTTTTGTTGGCGTAACTGCACTGATTTCAAAGTAACAGAATGAAAAGTCAGGCGAGTTGTACCTTCACCTGTACTGTTTTATTTAAAAATCAAATATACATGGTGTGATTTTTCACTGCTGTTCAACACTTCCCTCCTCCTCCCCCAGAACAGAAGGCAGCTTTCAGTTCCTTACATGTGTAAGCCTCCTGGTCTTCACCCAAACATGGAGCATTACGTATGTTCCACATTAGGCTGCCATGAATCCTTCAGGAAGAGCAGAGGTGGTTGTGATAAATGAGTCATTTCATGCTCTCCCTCACCCATCTGAGCTGAAGCGCCTTATTGCCAAAACTTTACGCTATAGGAGGAGCCCTTGTTTGGCCATTGCCTGTTCATTGCGAGGCCAACTTCAAAGGATGTCATTTGTTATTAACGTGCATCTCTGTTACTCATCACAACAGCTTGCTAGCCAGCACTGACTCCCACTCGGATCAAGTGTCTTTTCATACCTACCATGTCATACTCTCTTGTTGGCTTCTTTCCAACACCTACTCTCCTCCCTCTGACCCGAGCTTATCTAGCTTCCTAGGTTTGAGCCAGCTCCACTTTCCCTGCAATAGAAGCAATCAAGCAACAGCATATTTCACATCAGCAACAGCCTTTTCCTCCATGTAAATAAACCCTTTTTCATGAGTAATGACTGTATCTTAATCTAGAAAATACTAATAATAAGAAAGGAATAGGTTTGGAAGTGAAGACAGTCTAATGAGAATACAGTCTTATGAGTGTTCTCCCTTCTCTTTCATCCCTTTCTTCTGTGAGTTATTGAAGGTGCGTTATTGAACTCTTCTTGGTAGAAATAGTACCGGTTTGATTGTTGTTTTTTTTAATCAAACAGTCTTCAGAAATGAAAATGAGAAAAATATGCAGGGGAAGTCAACAGAACTTCTTTCTGCAAGATGGTCTACAAGGTTATATCTGTACTTCAGTCTTAGGCCTTTGACTGCAGCTCATACGCTAATATGAGCAGATTTATTGATAACTGTGTGAAGCTGAGACGGGTAGCTGCACAAATATTTCTTCAGGTCCTTGGCTGGATTTTGCAGACTTGGGCATATTCTGTAGCTCTGTAACTGTCAGCACCTGAGCCAGCCAGTTTAGAGCTACCTGGACTGTGTCCACACCAGCTTTATACCTCTGGACTCGTGTAGACGTAGTCTGTGTTAGTTCACTAAGAGATAAGGATTTCTTACTTCTGGTCTTGCTCATGGGCACAAGTTCTTACAAGTTCAGACATTCCTTACCTTGTCTGGCTTCGATTTTGATGATGAAAGATAGGCTGGTAGCAAATACACAGTGACTGATAGCTAACCATTGTAGGCTCCCTCAGGGGTCACGGGAGATCAGTTCAGAGGAGGAGCTGAGCAGAGGATGAAGGTTCAAGGACAGCTAAATGAGTCTATCCCGTCTGTGCCACCACACTGGCTGTCCTGCTATGTTGCTCCTGTCACACACACTCGCTGCTTTCCTTGCAATAGCTCTGGCACTCCGGTGCCTCCTTGGTTGGCCGATTCACCTCATTGTGCTGGGAGAGAATTAACCTGAGGTAGGGGGAAGAAGGAAAAAAAGATAAAGAGGATTATTTTCCACTTCTCAGAGAGCTGAACTGGTTCACTGCAGGGTCAGCTGAGTGCCAGAGCCTGTGCAAGAAAAGGGAGGGACCACACATCCAGCAGCAGGGTGGAGGCAGAGGTACTGCCCCCTTCCATCGTCAATAAGCTGTTAATTTGATGAGCCATCTCATGAAACCTCACCCTTAACCATTCAGGTTCATCCTCCAGAGGAACCTCTCTTTCTCGGTTGACTGCAGGTGCCCTTCCTCAGCAGGCTGGCCCCGGTAAGCTAGTGATAACATTGGGTCTGTCTCACACTGAGCTGCCTCACACCCAGAGGAGATGGGAGAGGCCTTTTCTGGCCACTAGAAAGCCTTCAGCTTTCAGCACCAATAGCTTTGCTCATGGAAATACTCTTCCATTCTCTTTCGCTTATTCCCAAATTTCTTCCTGGTATCACCTTTCTTCTCATATTGCTGACAGGAACTGCTGAAGAACGTACTTCTAAATAAACCAAGCCTTCCTCCCGCCCTTCCCCGGTGAACATCTAGTTAGAAAATCCAGTAGGTTGTCCTCTATGCTGTAACACAGAATCTGTTCACAGACTTGACAGTGATAATACATGCAGACAGAAAAATCACGTTGACCCTGGCTGGCTCATCTACTTCATAGCAGCACTGGTACCAGTACCTCTAGACAATAGTATTCTGATGGGAACTTCTAAGAAAAGCAGTCTCTCGAGCATTACTGTAGTGAAGCAGATAGGTGAGTGTGAAAGTGCCTAAGGGAAGTGGACTTTGTGTCTAGAGCATGAACTGGAAAGCAGGCCTCACAGGTTCTCCTCTAGTTCGCAAGCAAAGGAGCATTGAGAAAGTAGCATCGCATGTACTAGAAATGGCTGTCCTGAGTTTCCTTTGACATTAAGAAAGGGGCCACTGGGAATTTAAGGTGAAATACAAGTAAATAGTTGTTAATAGCAGTCATGCCATACTTGAAAATAGTTGCTGTTGAAGATTGGAAGTGCTTAACTTCTGTGGAAACTGAGAAAGGAGTGAAGGCAACATCTTAGGGTGATATACCCAGGAACGGAGCATGTAGAACTGCCTCTCAAAAGCACGCTGCTCTCCTCATTTCCTTCTGAATAGTTTCTCACCGGTGGCCTTGACCAATTCCTTTTCCATGGTGCGAGTCACAGTGCAGATGCAGGGAAGGCAGTGAATTGCTTTCCTGAATGGGGCCTCTGCGCTTACTTTGGACAGCGTGCAAACCCACGGTGTATATTTTGAAACTAAATTTGCTTGGCACTTGTTAGTGATTTTTGGAACCTGGTCCAAGCTTGGAAAAACACCGAATAGCAGATCTTAAATATAAGCTAGGCAAACTTTCTGATAGAAGCTTTTTTGCCTTTGCAGGGGTCCTTTAGAATTCTCACTTGGAGCACACTAGAAAATACATCACCAGAGCAAAGAGAATTTCAGCTCTAAATTCGTCTATGTGCTAGCGTAGAGACAGTTTCTATAGATTCTGATGGTGGAAGAACAGAGCAGGAAGGCCCAGTTTACTTCAACTCAAACTAGCAAAGTCCTGGGCTTTTCTTCACATGTGCTGCCACCTATATGTGAGATGGTCACTAACTTTGAAGAGTAAAACACATTGCATTACATAACTGGATTATCCTCTCTTCCATTCATTCTTCTGCTAATTGATTCTTGTGTTCAACATACTTAACACATTGTACAATAGTGTATTTTCCACATATATGGAAAATATATTTTTTCTAGAATTGCAAAATTAGTCAGAGCTAATTTACAAATTAATTTTTAAAATATGTTTTCTTCCTTACAAGTTAGGAATACTGTATAAAACAGTGGGAACATCTTAATTTTATCAGTCATTGTAATCAAGAAAATACAAAGTTTCAGACCACCAGTACAGATAATATTTTTCATGCTTCTGTATTTGCATACCAGAAAGACTTTCGTTTTCACCTGTCTTAACATACACATGTAAAATCAATGGGGAAGCAGAATTCATTATTGTAGGGCTTTAAACTGGCTTGTAGAACCTTCTTGCCAAGGTTATCAAATCATGGGAAACTTGGGCAGCTATAATTTTTATTACAGTGTTTGAGGGCTTATTTATTCTTTCATATATATATAAATATTTATATATTTTGTTCCTCAAGGGAAGCTGATTTCCGAAAGGAATATGACCAGCTGCAACAAAATACCAGGAAACCACTGACCAAACAGTGCATATAAAAAATTAAGTGAACAAATTAAAAACAATACTGCCTAATTAAAAAGTACCAATGGGAAGTCCAAACATTTGAAAATTCAATTAAAAATCTCTGGCACCCTTCTGACATGGATAAAGTTGGCATTTGCAGAACAGCAGCTTTCTCACCTGTCTCATTGAGATCCCAGGATCCCACGCTGGAAGGGTTGTTTTTGTACATTGCAATGTTGTTAATTAATGCTGAAACGCTAACAATAGACTATTGTGTGCGTCCAGGCGCTTTTTATGAGCACAGGGTTTTTTCTTGGCTTCCCACAAATAAAATAAGGTTTAAGCTCAGATTCACTGTCAAGCTGGCATTCCAGGCTCTATTAATTTTCTGTCATTCAGACCTGTTGTTGTGAACTGTGTTCTCCCCTTGTCATTTTCAGTGCCCACCTCCTCACTTCCAGACAACAAGTACTTCGCTGATACATGCCAGGAAAGTGAACACCCTGCAAGGTGAGGTCCAGCAGAGACAGGAGGAGGAGTATCAGAAAGCCTTGGTAAATATCAAAGATAGGCTGAAAGAAATGGAGGGGTGCCACATCAAAGAAACTCTCCAGTATCAGATCCGCCAGTGTTTCATCGAGAGCCGGTAAGAAGAGATAAACACCTGCCCCTTAAAGAATCCATTTGCCCCAGAGTGCCTATTTTGCAATTCTTACAAAAGCCAAAGGCTCACATCTATAGTTGTCTCAGGAAGTTTACTTTAGCTGAAGAAGTTTGAGACTGGTAACTTTAACCCAGCAATACTGTAAAGCCACATACTAAGCCATATAGACTGGTTGCCTGATAGGGGTCATTTTTCCGGAATCTAGCCCGTGCAATAGGTTAGTATGTAAAATTAAATTGAGAAGCAGGGTCCCAGGATTCACCAGCCAAGGTTCAGCTGCTCTGGATGAGATCACTTTTGTGTGATCACAATGTTTTTATGTATTGAGCTGATAGGTGATGTTGCAGGCCTCACATTTGCCTTGTGGACCTGTGTCATGTCCATTAATCATTCAGCTGTTTTTTCAGGATGGTAGACCTGCCTTTGAGGGTGCAGTTTCCAGTTAGAAACACAATTGCATTCTGATAAAATCCTGCTCTTAAAAGGATCCTTGTTCTCATTTATTCCTTGACCACTTTAATCAGATTTTGGTGGCTATACAATAGCAATTGTGCATGTAAAAAACAAAAAACAAACCCCATAAAAATAGCACACTGATGGGTTCTCTTCTTTCTTGTAATTTTGCCTCTTATCTAAATTTGAGACCCTAATATATTTTTACCACATCTAGCTCTCCTTCAAAAAGAATTCCTGGGTCTGCAAAACCTCAGTTATTACAAAGCACTTCCTCAGTCCCTAAATTAACCCTGTTCTCAGGTAACAGGTCCAGCCTGCCCAGTTCTTGAGCTGCCATTTCCTGCCTCTTTCCACAACTCCCAGTGTGTTCAGAGGTACAGAAAGATCTTATTTCCTGTGCTGAATATTACTAGTCTAATAGTAATTCTCTAATGTAGGATAATCATGTCCTATTAGCTTGACTCTAGAGCATGCGGAGAACTAGCTGAAACATCATGTGAACCGAGAGCGACATTTCTTTAGTAGAGAAAAAGCAATGTCCCAGGGGATAAGGCTGAGCCATAAACCTCCTTAGAAAGGATAGTTATGAGGTAGTAAGTCAAACCCATCCCATCAAGGCACGAACAGCAGAGCAAACCAGAGAGCCCAGTCAATCCAAATGATCATTTGGAGGACGCTGAAACCAACGTTCAATCAAGGCAGGCAAAGAGGAATGGCTAAATGGGCTGATCATCAGAACCCTTGCTACCTAATTTATAAGCGAGCTCTATCTCATAGAAGCTGGTCAGTATGAACTACTCTGAAGACATAAGGGGAGGGGGGGGTATAACGGCTTAGGCCTTCTTATACAGTAGTCTTCACAAGTGAAAGGGGACCCCATTGTTAAATTTAGGTCCCAGGGGTGCCCACAGGCCCAACTTTAGGTGAGACTTCTATTTTGCAGAACTGTAGACAGACATAGTCAGCATCCCAGTATATAAATACACAGTTAAACTTAAGTTATAAGGAGTTCTTTAAGTGCCCTCTAAGTTACCTGATGGCAGAGACACAGTGACAGGCAACTACAGGCCCTAACTTCCTAATCCTGACTTGCTGCAGCTAAAGCAGTGTGTGCGATTATACTATTTGTTACTCCCTTCTTCTAAATTAACAGTCCCTCCTCATTTCTAAAAATCAGTAAGGCACCTTTCAGCCAAGACTAGACAGCTCTCATTGATAAAAGCCATTCTAGTGATTTAGCAGCGTGATAGATGAAATCCGGCCCCCAGTGAAGTCAGTGGGCAAGCTGCCATCAGCTGCAGCAAAGCCTGGACATTACCCAATACTTTAGTTCATTTGTACCTGGCTGAGTGATGCATGGGTTTTTAGGACTGAGACAAGCCAGGGGAAGCTGCCTGCCATCTTGCTCTTCATGGGAGGCCTCCATTTAACTGACCAAAAGACCTTTCCCCACAGACACATTCACTTGCATCCAAAAGAGGTAAAAGAAAAATCAGCGAATTTCTACACATGGGAAGCATGTGTGTCACACAGAGCCAAGCTTTCGGCATGGTGCATGCCAAAGACGCTCCAGAATGCTAGCCGGAGTTGCGCCCCAGTCCCTGCCTGGCTTGCTGAACAGTGGCCCAAGTCTGAAGTGTCAAGATTCACATTAATTATTACCTGCCAGGGTATACTTTGGCTCTCCATTAAGTCTGTCTGCAAGATCAACATCTAAATGCAGCTTATAAATTATTCTTTAACTAGACTTTTTGACAAGCGTTTACCATTTTCCATAGTCTATTAAATAAACAGATAGCTAAAAGGGAACAAAGATCCTTTTCAATGAATTTTGCTGTATACACTAAAAAAATAAATGCAAACTTATGCTTCCCTTCCACACTTTATCCTTCAAATGGAAAAGGATGTGATCAGAAATACAATTAGCAGGTGTTGTCTTTCAGCACAGCTGCTATCAGGTTACAAAAACAATGAGCACATATTAAATTTCTCCACTTGTAAGAAGCAGGACTGCTATAAATATTTACCACTTTCTCTGCAGAGGAGAACAGGCATAGCTTCAGTGATTTCAGAATCTTAAGACAACTTCTTAGGAAGATGGAAGTTCTGAAAAAGCAAAACAAAGCAAAACCCAAAGGAACAGATTAAATGAAAAAGTTCCAGTTGCTTATAGCAGTCCCACTGCAGAGAACACAAAATGTTTTTAATATAAACGCTCTGTATTTCGTAACTCTACTGTCCACCGTTCTGTTCATCTGTACTGACTTTTGCAAAGCTGTTCTTATTTGGCTGGCAGATTATTTACATAAAGCTTTCCAGATTCTGTTTTGTCTGGTCCCCGTGTAACAGACTAGAAAAGATTTTTTTGAAAGCTTGAAAGAGTTTTTTTTTTAAAAAAAAGCACCATGCAGTATACCTACAGGCCTCCCTTTTGTCAAGGGAGCCATGTGATTTGTAGAACAGGAATACAAATGCTCAAAAATTAACAGTTACTGTAATTACATACCTCTGAGTTAGTCTTGATTTCAGTCACAACTCCCACAGATTCCACCCATTTCATTGATATCAGAGTTTTATAATAAAATACAGCAATTGCATAGTTGGGGTTCTAGTTACTATTTTCCAGTACTATTCCAGACCAGAGACATTTTTCTCTAATTTCACATATAGGGTTTTGCACTGCATATGCAAAACCTGTCATCTTTCTCTTCTCTGCCCTTTACCCACCGAGAAGTACATACCAACAGTCCCCAAATTACAAACCTTGCTTAGATTCATGCCTAAACAGGAGGGGGGGAAAAAAGTGTGTAGGTGGGAGCATCCATTATTACATAGAACAATATAGTACTATCTTTGCGTAAGAAAAGTCCTTTCGTACAGAAATCAATACAAAGAATCAGAAATCAAGATGAGGTTTTTTTTACTACAGATAGCCTCCAGAGTCACAGGGGAGAGCCTAATGCACAGGCTTTGCTGTAATGTATCTTATACCCTCTAGCTGTAACAAATTATGCTCTGAATTTCTTGGAGGATTTATATGCCTCTACTCAGTGCTCTGGGGAGCATTTCATCAGTGGCATTGCTGACCTAATAACAGGGGATCTAAGTAATAGCAACTTTTATGTACGTTGTACGTTATTCCCATAGATTTGGGGATTGGTTTTCTGGAAGGAGGAGGAGGCAAGGGGTAAATGTGCTTTCATAATAGGTTTACACTTTACTGATTAGCTTTGAACGATCTTCTTGCTCTGCCTGCTGACTTGAGTACTGTCAGAAAAAGAATCAGCCAAGCTTCATGGTGAGTGAATGAGACTCCTTCTGAAGCAGGGGGTTCCTGTGCTTTATTTATTCATTTTGAACATTCCTGACAGCCAGCCCAGACTTTGATGAGAGGAAAGGAGAAAGAAATAGGAAGTGATCGTGTTATATTTTCCCTTTTCACAAGATTGTTTTGTTGAGCTGAGTTTACTGCCAATAGGCTTGTTCATGGGACTCCCTAAGCAAGAGGAAGATGAATGGAGAAAGAGGTTTTGCACTGAAACCTCCACAGAATAGGGAAAGCATTCATTTGTGTCAGGCACTGCCTGTATTGCATTTCACACTCTGTACACACTGCTCTTTATGAAGTTTATATTAACATATGTGAAAGTTGCCAAGCAATCCATCAGCAACTGAAGTCTTGCCAACAGGACAGAGATAGATTACACCTCGGCAACGCCAAGCAGCGACACTCCTGCCTCACCCCATACTATCAGCTCTGATTTGGAGGAGCTGTTGCTGCAGGTCCATCCGGACTTGTGTTCTTTTTTCAGTCCTGTCTGGCTTGTTGTACATGCCCTCAGTCTGCCAGAAGCGCTTTCAAAGTAACCCAGGAGTATGGAATGCGCTCTCTATGCAATATGGCAACAGTTCACAAAGCAGCTGATAGTAAAAGTGCTTGATAACCAGGTTTTAGCGCAGTAAACCCACAATGAAAAGCAGTTCTCAAAGAGCAAGCTCCATAGGACACAACCAAAGAGAGACAATGCCAGCTCCTTAATCATAGTCCTTTCTGGACGATGCCCCAGAGCTCTTGAACATGCATTTCCTCCTACCCTGGTGCCGCTGCAAGGGCATTTCTCTTGTAGGAACCTACTGTAGAGTACCTCTCCGCTAGCTGGTATTTTATATTCAGCACAGACAGGAGTTGCTTCCTACAGGGGCCACTTACAGGTGGGTGATGAACCGCTTTTTTACCTAATCTATATTGTCAGTATGCGTTTCCCCTGTCATCATTAAAGGATTGTCATGCATTTGCAAGCCACTTGTATGCAACATTCCACTCGGGATCAAAAACTACCAGCTGGATAGAGAAGCAGCTGTGACCTCAAAGTCATACACTCTTTACTCTTTTACTTTGGTGCAATTTACCTCTAGAGGAAGGAAATCAGGATATTCTGCATTTAGGGATAAATAAGGGGCTTTTCTGGCAGTTCCACCATATGAGGAAGAGCTGAGCTAAATTAGGAAGAGGGTTATATCTGCAA